CTCTCTCTCTCTCTCTCTCTCTCTTCACCAGGCCTCGAACCAGCGGTCGACTGTCTTTTTTCCTCGGAAAGGTTTCAGGAACCACAACCCTGCCTTGCCAAAAACCCCACTGCGCGACATGCCCCTTGGCAGCAGGTTGGACAAGCATGGGTCGCCGTTGCCGCATTGCACGCCTCGCTTAACTGCCACTGCGCGCCCTCGCACAAAGTGCAAACTTTCCTGGGAACTTCCCTCATCCAACCTCCTCCCTTTGCATTCGAAGTCTTTGAAACCCCCCTCCCCCCCGCAATACTGTAGCTATACACTCATGACTGGTCGTGCAAGTATTTTCACACTCCCAATGAGATCCAAGTTAAGACTCGGTTTGAATAGCCACGAGCTTGGTGCAAGGCGGTGACGCTAGCTACTGCAAGTTGGCAATTGGACTTGGCGGAGTCCAAATTGGGCTTGCATACCCCGCGTCTCTTTCACGTTCCACTTTCTCCCCCACAACCCAACCGCCCCAATCGCCCCCCCAGCCAGGCGCTCTAACAATTTTTAACTCGACCTTTGCTCCCCCCACGCACACTCTCTCTCGCGCACACACGTGGAGGTTGAACCCCTCACACGAACCAAGATCAAGGGCGGAATCAGATGAATGATAGACAGCAAAGATAAAGCGAGAAGGAATTCCAATGCGACACCCCGGCTTCTAGTCGCGCTTTCCCAGCATAAAGACGCCTTTGACGGGCAGATTGCGCAGCTGGAGAGCGCCGAGGCCCGAGTTCCAGATCTTGGCTCGGCTCGAGCCCTCGATGCCCACCAACGCACCCTGGCCCGTGACGAGCTTCCATGTAAAGGAGCGGAAGATGCCTCCGCGGCCGGGCAGCACGGTGAAGGGCACGTCCGTGAGCCGGGCACGAAGCAGCTTTCGCTCGCCCTTGGGGTCGGTAGGATCGACGTACGTCTCGGCAGGCGCAAAGTCGTATGGTCGCACGCGTCCGAACGCCTTTTCGGGCAGAGGATCCGGTAGAGGCGGTGCCGGCTCCGGCTCCGGCTTGGGCTCCTCATCATGCTCCTCCACCCCGACAAACGCAAGCCGCTTGAGACTCTCCAAGGCCCCACCCACCATAGTCCAGCTGCTCGCCACCGCCGCCTCGAGACTCTGCAGCATGCTGGGCGGCTTACCGTCGAACACGAGGATGTCCGGCCACAGATGCGTGATCTGCACATCGATGCTGCTCATCTGACCGGGCATGCTGATCTCGCCCATCACCGTGCCGCTGCACAGCAGCTTGTCCTTCTCAAACGGATGCGGCGTGATCTTGAGGTCGTTGATCGTGACGTTCTTGATGAGCTCCGTCACCTTGCTGCCGGGGAACGAGATGGGCACGTCCACCAGCCGCAGCGCCGACTCCATCCACTCGGGCAGCTCCGATCCGTCGCCAGGCATCGTTTCGGTCTCGTTCCCGCTCGCCGAGCCGGCAGGCACGGGCACGTGGAAGGGAGATCCACCGCGCACGTACACCGTGTTGGCCTCGCCGCGCAGGAAGCGGCTCAGGAAGTTGCTCATCGCCAGCTGCTGCGGCGAGTCGCCCGCTGCCTTGCCGTCGCGTCGCGCCTCGTCCGAGGCATAGGCAGCCTTGAGCGGCTGCGCACCTGCGCCGAGTACGAGCTGCTCGGACGGCAGACGGGTCTCCAGTACATCCTGAGGAGGCGGCACCACGCGACCCAGCAGCTCGAGCTCGACAATCTTCTGGCCGCTCAGTCGGAAGGGCTCGGTCGCAACCGCTGCCATCAGCACCGACGCATCGGGCTCGGGCTGGTCCTCCTCGGCAACCTCGGCCTCCGTCCTCCCGCTCTTGTGCTGCTTGGGCTTCTTGGGCTGCTTAGCAGGCGTGCTCGCATCGACGGGCAAAAAGATACCAAACGGCAAGCTGTAGCGCACGTTGCCCTGCAGCATCTTGCCGAGCGGATTCTTGGCCATCGCCTTGGCCTTGATGCCCAGCGCACGCACAAGCATCGAGCCGACACCGCCGCGGCTGGATTTTGGCTCGTCGTCCTTGCCGATCTCAAAGAACTCGTATCCGTCGACCTTGAGCAGATCGTCGATGTCAGTGTCGTTGTCGAGCTTGGGCACCTTTTCGAGCACGGGGCTGCGGATGTGGTGCTGCGCAATGTCGATGCGGCGGGGCACGTCGAAGAAGCCCGCCTTGCGGCCGTGGATGATGCCGTGAATCTCGGTCTTGGCGAGGCCGCGCACGCGGAGGCCGGCGATCTTGACGTCGAGCTGCGCGATGCCCTTCTTGATGGCGTGCTGCGCGTACTCCATGATGTACGGCGCAGGCACGACGGGCTTGAGCAGCACGGTGAGGTTGAGCGGGCTCATGTTGTGCTGTGCTGCGGGCGTGCTGTGGTTGCCGAGGATGGGCGGGCGGAGCGAGTCTTGGTCGGTGTCGCCGTGCTCGATTTTGCGATTGAGAGGAGGCAGGGGCAGGACAAGCGGGTCGAGGTGGAAGGCGAGCATGTCTTGAGGATCTTGCACGGGCGATGACGCGAGGACGGCAGGGGGCAGCACGGACTGATCCCACGCGGCTCCAATCTCGGAGAGACGCACCTCGCCAACATCGACCTGGACGCCTGCGACCTTGCCCATGGCCCACTCGACGAGCTTTCGCTCCTTGTTCTTCCACCAGCCCTGCTTGCCGCGTTCTCCGAGCCAGAGGTCGAGCGCATGGTCGGGGTCGAGGCCGAGACGCGCATCGACGCGGACGAGGATGCCTTGGTCGGAGATGTTGAGCAGCTGCACGCGGTCGGGACCCTTGAGCAACAGCGACTCGTCCAGGATGCGGCTCTGCGCTTCGGGCGAAGGGGTCTTGAGCGTGCCGAGATAGAGGTGTGCCACGGCGACGCCGATGATCACGATCAGAGTGAAGAGCAGTGCCAAGATGGCGTAGACGGTGCCGACGAGATAAGGGTGTTCGTGCCTCCAGGCGGCGAACGAAGCGGCAGAGGAGGTGTGGATGGATCTCGAGTGGCGCTGCGAAGCCGAGACAGCAGCGCTGCGCCTCTGCTTGCGACGGCGGGCGATGCGTGCGGCGTGCGCCTTGTCGCCGCCCCACAGCTTGGACAGCTTGAGCCAGGCGCGATCGAGCGGACCAGCAGCCGCGATTGCACTGGACTTGCGGGCGGACGAGCTTAGCAGCGAGCTACGCTCGTGGTCGCCATGACCGGGAAGCATTCCGGTCTCGAGCTCCTCATCATCTACGTCGGCATCAAGGCCCTCTGCCTCTGCGTCGCTGTCCGGGTAGATGGGCTTCCTGCCGTGGCGAAGCGGCTGCTGCGTTGCCGAGGTGCGCCTCTCGAGAGGCGGCGCAGGCGGACGCGTTGTGCTATCAGTTGTCGAGCTTTCCGTGCCGCTGGCCGGAGTTGGTGCCTCTTGCGGCTGCGCTTTGGCCTGCGCAGGGTCCGTCGCCTCTTGGGTCATGGTGGGGCGGAGATGCCTCGTACGCCGATTATGTGCGCTCCCTGAAGCGTAGGCCTGGTTCTTGCTGCGTAGAGATTGGACTGCTGCTGTGTCTGTTGGAGCTGAGATAGTAGATGATGGCGGTGCGTTGGGCCGGTGGGGATGGGATCGTGTGGAGAGAGAGATCGAGTGGGATTCAGGGTGCGATTTCGAGCCAGACCCTCGATTGCGTGGATGGCCTTTGCCACGCTGCTGCTGCAGAGCCTCCTCGTCTCCGCACATCTGACGACCAGCCTGCATGCAGCGGCTCAGCCGGGCTCCCCACGCCAAATCGAGGCTTCAGACCAGTCAAATTTCATTTCATTCAGGGCGCCGGGATGGACGCAGAGGGGCCTCGCTTCTGCACATCGATGCGGCCATGCGGAGAAATCGGGCTGGACCTCAATCGGGCCTTTTTCGCCGACGTCAAAAAGCCAAAAAAGCCAAAAAGCTTCAGAGTCGCTCGGAAAACGCCGATGGAAAGCCGAGTGCCGATGGAGAATTTCGCCGAGCTACCAGTCGAGGTCCCGTTATCTTATGGTTCCGCCGGTTCTGAGGCTGTCGATGGTGGGACAGGGCGCATACAGGCGTGCGTGTGAGCCATTTATTACGACGACGATGAGGGTGCGTGTTGATATCTCGACATTGCCTGTCGAGGTGGTGACGAGGTGGTAACGGGATGAGCTTCGGATTTCGCGGTGGCCGATGTCGTCGTGACTCGATAGGCGAGGTCATGAACCACTCCTACTTTATCTGCCTCCATCATCCGGACCACGTCCTTGAGCTCCAGCTAGGAGAAGCCCGCAGTTGACGCTGGCGATCCAACTGGCTAACGCATTCCGATGCTCGCCGTACCTACGCCCTCTACATCGCGCTTCCAGCGTTCGTTGTACGATGTGGACCGCACCAAGCCCTCTCCGTTCGCATGGACATCGGACGGGCGAACGCGCCGCTACGTGCGCAGGATGGGTCTGATCGAGTCGTTTTTCAACACCATGGCCACGCTGCATGAGGGACGCACCGACATCTTCTACCGCATTCCTCTCAGCTGTCCCACTCAGGCGTATGAACATCTCGCGCGACGCCTGCCGCTTGTGTGGGCGATCCTCTGCCGTCGCCACCCGCTGCTGGGCGCTCACGTCGAGACGCTCACACCGGACGGCACCCGCATCGATGCGCAGCAGGCCGCAGCTACTCGCCACACGGGCGAAGCCGCCGACGACGGCTCGATCTCGTTCGAGCCGCACTTCGTCTTTGATGCCATTGCCTCGGCCTCGGATCTGCTCGAAAGCGCGTCCAAGAGAGTCGCCTTCCTGCCGCCGACATGGTGCGACGACCCGGAGCTGCGAGCTTATGCACGAGGCTCCAACGCGACTCGAAGCGGCCTGGTGGTGAGCTGGCTCGACCGCTATGTGTGGAACGACAAGCGCCGCTTCCTCGAACAACACACCCCCTTTGGACTTGCCCAGCTTATCCTGCTCCCACCAGCCGCAACAGACACTGCAACGGACAGCGTCGACTTTGACCTGATGCTGTGCTCCGCACATTGCATCTCGGACGGGCTTAGCATCTCGGACCTCGCCGGCGAGTTGGTGCGTCTCCTCGCCTCCTCTGAGCTTCCGATACAGCTTCACGAGCTCGAGCATCGTACCGAGCCGTCGGTAGGGGTACCAGGCCTCAGCACGGCGAGATACGCTCAGGTCAGCTCTCAGATGAAGCACGCCGTTCGGACCGGCCTGCTGTGTGGGCGACACCAAGACGGCGGCCCCAACGATGATGGAGCTATCGAAGACGCCGATTGGACGGCGCTGCTGCCTGCTCCCATCGAGGCGGCGTATCCGGAGCTACTTCCGTCAGCAGCCTCGACGGCGGGCGCAGCAGGATCCGGTGCCGAGCGGTCGAGGCTAGCACGCGCGCGGTGGTTCTGGACTATTCGCCGGGTTGTCGTGCAGATCCGCGCCGCCAAGGCAGAGAGCGCGGTGCTGTCGGACTTCAAGGCAAACCGCACAGACAAGTCGGTCGAAGAGCCATGGTGGGGCGCACAGACGAGGTGGTCGGCTGTACGCCTGTCTGCAGAGGATACATCGGCTTTGACGCGAGTCGCTAAGCGCAAGGGCGTCCGAGTCGGATCGCTGCTGTACTCGGTCGCTGCTTGTGCACTCAACACGCTCGAGCTCACGCATACACCGCCAGGAAGCCGCAGCGAGGAGCCCACCTCGACGGTGATGGGCTTCCCCTTTTCCATCCGAAGGTTCCTCGCGCCTGCCGCAGCTGAGACGCACGATCCTCTACTCGTGCCATCAAGCCTGGGCGTCAAACTCAGCTTCAACGGCATCGGTCTACCACCTGCCTCGCTCTTCTCGCTCAACGCATGGCCCAGCGGTGCAACCAGGCAGGTGTTGTCGTTGAGCGGCTTTGAATGCGCGCAGCTCTGGCAGACGGCGCGCCAGGTCCAGCGGCAATTCAATGCCATCTTCCACGAGCCACGCTTCATGCACGCCGACGGCTTCCTCACGGCGCTGGAGCGCGAGATGCGCTTCCGCAAGAACGGCGTCAAGGACGTCTTCCAGGTGTTCAAGGACGATGCGCCCGCTGGTGCCGACGAGCGCACGCCCGGTCTGGCCAAGAAGAACATGCAGGGCCCCGGCTCGTCGCTCAACTTTAGCATGGTCGGTCTGCTGGACACTGCGCTGCCATCGCGGCTGGAGTTCGTCGTACCATCGGCCGACGTCGCACAAGCACATCAGGCGGTGCTCGAGGTGCGAGACGATCTTCTGTTTGGTGTGCGCACAAGAGCCGGCGAGGCGTTCGGCACATCGTTCACCTTCCGCGGCCAGCTGAACCTCGAGTTGGGACACGACACGGTCGTGTGGGATACGAACAAGGTGCTCGACTATCTCGGTCTCATGAAGACCATCTTGGAGGCGCTGGTGGCCGCTGACGAGGCGCGGTGGAAGGAAGGCAAGCTGGAAAAATAAATTTGAATGTCAATTTGCTGAAATGCAACAAATTGAACTCGAAAATTGGATCTGAGCTGATCGGTCTGTGCGGATGTGCTTCACGTGAAGGCCGCTGCGCTGCTGCGCTGCTGCGCTTTGGCAGAGCGTCGTGTGGAGCTGACGACGGCTTCGGTCGCTCAGGCCAGAAAGTGCCACTTTCCCTCTCGAGATGCACTGACGCGGCCACATAGCTTCTCCACCACCCCTTTCGCCTCGCTAACCCATCGCCTCCCCCGGCTCGCACGCTTTTCTTGCGCTTCACACTCACATCGCTTTTGCCAGCTCTTCTGCCAGACAGACCGCTGCTCGCCATGTCGCTCTTTGGCACCTTTCCCGGCTCGTCGCGCGGGCCAGCACACGCGGCTGCGCCCAAGGACCATGTCGTGGGTCATCAATTCTCGCCCTACGACTCCAACGGTGGCAGCATTGCGGCCGTGTGCGGGAGTGACTTTTGCGTGATCGCATCCGACACGCGCCAGAGCACGGGCTACAACATCCAGACGCGCTACAAGCCCAAGGTGTTCCGACTGAACGACAAGGCGACGCTGGCGACCAACGGGTTCGCAGCCGACGCCGAGGCGCTCGTATCGCGCATCCGTCAGCGGCTCGAGATGTACCGCCATGCACACGGACGTTCGATGCCACTGCACTCGATCGCACGCATGATCTCCACCATGCTCTACGGCAAGCGCTTCTTCCCCTACTACGTCTACAACATCCTCGGCGGCCTCGACGAACAGGGCAAGGGCGCAGTCTACTCGTTCGACCCCGTCGGAAGCTACGAGCGCGAGTTCTGCCGTGCTGCAGGTGCGGCCCAGTCGCTCATCCAGCCGTTCTTTGACAACCAGATCATGTTCAGGAACCAGTCCGACACGCCGGAACGCAAGGTACCCACGCCGGGCCAGATGACCCTGCCCGAGGTGCTCAAGATCGTCATCGACTCGTTCACCTCCGCCACCGAGCGTCACATCGAGGTGGGTGATGGTCTCGAGGTGTTTGTTGTTCGCACGCCTGCCGCCGCAGCGTCTGCAGAGGGCGACCAGGCCCAGGCCGCCACCGGCGCAGCGGCCGTCGATCTCAACACGCTCCCCTCCGACGCGCCCTTCAGCGTGGCAGAAGCCGTGGGCGGTGAAGACGAGCAGCAGCCAGGCGCCGTCATGGTCATCAGGAGAGAGCTCAAGAAAGACTAGTCTCGCTCTTCAATCCGCTCGTCTGTACTTGGCCATTCAAGTTTTGCCTCATTCTGTCGTGTTCGAGTGTCTTGTGTGCTGAATTGGCATGCTGCGTGAATTTAGAGGCTGTGAGCGTCGGCGTCGGCGTCGGCGTCGGCGTCGACGTCGGGGAGGCTGGATTGAACGACAAAAGCATCGGGCACGCCGGGGAGAGGTTGGATGAGGCCATGGCCGAGCCAGAAGTTGAGGGCGTCGGCAGCGTCGGCTTCGCGCTGCAGGTTGAGTTGATCCATGACGTCGGACTGGGTGACGACGTTGGGGCGCTCGGTGCGCTCTGCCGCGTGCGCGCGCGAAATGACCTCGAGCACCGCCGCCTGGAGGAGCGAGCACTCGACCGCGATGGATTGGCCCGAATCCAGCTCGACCTCCAGCTCCACCGAGCCCAGATGGTTGAGCCAGTGCAGTTTGCGCATGGCCTTGGTCTGGCTGAACGTCTTTCCGTACTCCTCCTGCGCACGACCGAACAGCGGCGGCAGGGTGAAGTCGCCCACGCCCGCCGTGCCGGGCTGAATGGTGGGCTCGGGCCAAAACTGACGCGACACAATCAGCGGATGCAGCCGCGACACCATGCCTTCCACTCCCACCGCTGCGGCGGGCGCCTGGCTACGACGGCGGTGGTGGATCTCGCTGTCGATGCGACGCGACTCGGTGACGTCGCCGAGCATGACGTCGCACTTGCCCATGTTCTTGTCGCCAAAGCGCTTCTTGAGGATCATGTTGTTGCGGTACTCGTCCATGGCCTTGTACGCCTTGACGTGCACCAGCTGGTCGGCCATGCTCTTCTCCAGCGCCGCTATGAAGCCCGTACGGTCATCAAAGATGCTCGTCAACATCGACAGGATGTCCTTGGACGTCGACATGCGGTATCCGCTACCCGCCTCCATCGGCTTGGGCACCCAGTCGGGATCGTCCCAGTCCTCGTCCGACGACGCATCGCTATCCGACACCTCGACCTGCACCACCCTGCGCCTCGCCGCGCCACGCTTGGCTTTGCGTCGCTTCGGCTGCACTCCCGGTGCAGGCTGTGCGGTTTGGAGCGACCTTCGTCCTCGACGCCTGCGTTTGGTGCCGTCGAGCTCGTGCGCCTGCTCCTCGTCATCCGCGCGTTCCAGCTCGTCCTTGAGCAGCGTAAAGTCCGGATCGTCGCCGAGCATCGACGCGACAATGACGCGCACCGTATCCTTGCGCGCACGCAGGTAGCGGCGCAGCGGCGACACGACGCGCGAGAGCACGACGCCCGTCGCATCCATCTCGCGCAGCGCACGTACGAGGTGCACGTACATCTGGATGATGTCGCGCGTATGCGCGCCCGGATGCAGCAGCCGCATCTGCAGCGCCTCAGCCAGCCTGCGCGCCACACTCAGCCGCTGGTCCGCCGTCTGCAGGCTCAGCCGCAGATCTTGCAGCGCCGCCGCCGACTCCGGATACATGGCCACCAGGTCGAACAGCTGGTTGGCACGCGTCGCGCACAGCGCCTCGTCCAGCTGCACGTCGAGGCGAGACAGCCACGCCGCGCTCTCCGCTGCATCCGAGTCTTGCATCGCGTCGTCCGAAGGTGTGTCGGGTGCGAAGCAGTGTTGGCGGATGGCCTGGACGCGCGGCTTGGCATGCTCGTCCAGCCACTGCTGAAGCACCGGCCGCGCTGCCGACTCGAGCTGCAGCACCTGATCGTGCGCACCCGGATCCACCGCATCCACCACCGCCTGCACCTTGCGGGTAATCTCGCGCTGCACCACCCGACCCAGCAGCGTCAGCACGATACTCGACACGCCAGCCAGTTGAACATGTGCGACAAAGCACGACGAGAGGTCCACATCCGTCGGCTCTGCCACCAGCTGCTCGAGGAGCACCTGCAGTGCTTCCACCGCTGCAGCGTCAATCAAGGGCCGCAGTCGGTCCTGCAGCGAGCGGAGCAGATGGTATCGATGCTCGTGCAGGCCGTCGAAGATGGCCGCGGGGCTGTAGGGCGATATCCAGACGCGGAGCCATGTGGAGATGGCTGCGAGCTTTCCAGGTAGATTGAGAGCTAGTTTGGACTGCGTTTGGCCGGAATCGTCGATGACAGCGAGGCCACAGTCTGCGGCTACCGCATCAAAGGCACGCAGGCAACGCTGCGTGTAGTTGGCAGAGAGCGCTTCGACCACAGGGCTCGGTGTGGAGAGGTGCGACTTGGAGCTAGAGGGCTGTGCAGAGTGTTGTTCCAGCAGCGTCTGAAGAGCACTGCTGGTGTCTGAGTCGAGACGGAATGCGCCAGAGTCCGAGTCGAAGAAGCGGCATTGAGAAGGCGCGCGTGGCTCGAGGTACGCGGTGAGCGCCAGGTAGGCGTCTGCCGAGGTCGCAAGTGATGCAGGTGCCTGGGCTGCATCGGCGCGCCCGACGAGCAGTCCATGCACGGCTTGTTGCCATGCGCCGGCGAGCGACATGGTGATGAAGGCGTGTGGTGATGATGGGAGGTGGCAGGCCGTTGGCACGGGTGTTGATCAGTCCGAGACCAACACCGATCCCGGCGCGGTGGAGGAGAAGGCGCGCGGCTCATCGGGGCACCGATCTAATGCTGGATCGAACCGATCTGGGGAAGGTCGAGAATTTCGAGCGGCGCTGCCTTCTCCACCTGCAGAAGCGAAATCTGTAACCCCTCTTCCTGCCAACCATCGTCCATCAGCACCAGCCCAAGCATACTTGAAGTGGATCTGACACGCCTGCAGTAATGGTAAGTGCAGCCCCATGCGATCGGCCTCGTCTGCCGTCTCTATCTCGTGCTAACCTGCTTCGGTTTTGGTCCCCGCTCACCAGTCGCGCGTGGAGCTCCTCAACGCCGGAGGCTTCCGCGTGGACGGAAGGAAGCAGTACGAGCTGCGCTCCATCGCCATCCAGCTGGGTGGATCCGAGGACACGACTGCCGATGGCTCTGCTCAGATCACGCACGGTCTCACCACGGTCTCGGCGACCGTATTTGGTCCGCGCGAGGCCCGCAGCGGCGGCAACATGCTGCACGACCGGGCGTCGCTCAACGTCGAGGTGGCGCTTGCGCCGTGGGGGTCGATGGAGCGTCGGCGGCGCAACCGTGGCGATCGGCGGCTGGTCGAATTCGCGAGTGCGATCAAGTCGACGTTCGAGCCGGTGGTGCATACGCATCTGTATCCGCGCTCGCAGATCGACATTTTCGTGCACGTGCATCAGCAGGACGGCGGCGTGCTGCCTGCCGCGATCAATGCGGCGACGCTGGCGCTGCTCGATGCGGGCATTGCCATGCACGACTTTGTCGCCGCCGTGTCGTGCGGCATCCACTCGACTGCCGCGCTGCTCGACCTGTCCAATGCAGAAGAGTCCGACCTGCCAAATCTCACCGTCGCCGTTCTGCCGCGGACGAAACAGGTCACGCTCGCATCGCTCGAGACACGGCTGCACGTCGAGCGCTTCCAGCAGATCTTCAACCTGGCTATCGACGCCGCTCAGGTGCTCCACAACGAGATGCAGCTCGCCGTGCGCGACCGCACAAAGACGCTCGTCCAGGCCATGACGGGCAAGCACGTCGACGCCGCCCCACTCGCCGACTCGGACTCGGACCACGACGACGCCATGATGCTCTAGCCCCGCCCTCACTCGCTCGCTTTTCGTTTTGTACTTGTACCGCAACTCATTCATCTTGCACTCTGCTCGCCTGAAAACACACCGCGGCCAAGTGAGAACGATTCCAGATGCATTGGCGATTCCAATCATAAACAAGTGACGTTGAGATCAAGCATGTCCCGCCTTGCCTAGAGCTTGGGCTTTGCACTCGCCGCCTTTTGCTCCGCATGCCTCTTTCGCGCAGCTTCCTTGACGATAGCCTTGTCGACCTTTCCATTGGCGTTGCGCTCGAGCGGTTCGTCGCGGATCCAGATGAAATCCGGCACCTCGTGCTTGGGCAGCAACTTCCTAGCCACCTTGAGCACATCTTCCTCCGTGGGGCGGTTTTGCTTCTGGAACTCGGCGCGCGGCACACACACGATGCCGACGGTCTCGCCGAAGCGGTCGTCCGGGATGGGCACGGCGGCACAGTCGATGATGCGACGCTCCGAGTAGATGGCCGTCTCCACCTCGGTGCCGCTGATGTTCTCGCCACCGCGGATGATAATGTGCTTGGAGCGGTCCATGACGTAGATGAAGCCGTCGTCTTCCTTGCGGCCGAGATCGCCGGTGCGGAAGTAGCCATCGCGCGTAAAGGCCTCTTCAGTAGCCTTCTTCTTGCCCCAGTACCCGAGCGCCGTGTTGGGACCTCGGATCCAGATCTCGCCCACCTTGCCGTTGGCCACCTGGACGAGCGTATCCGGGTCGACGATGCGGATGTCGATGGTGGGTGGTGCACGACCTGCCGACGTGGGACGCAGACGGTAGTCGTCACTAGCCAAGGCGGAAGCGGCGCCGTTGACCTCGGTGGATCCGTATCCCTGACCGACGAGCATGGCGGGTTTCTTGGCACGTGCCTCTTCGGGGATCTCCTTGGCACTCGACGAGCCGCCGTGCGAGATGGCCTCGAGCGAAGGCAGCGCATGCTTGCTCAGCACCAGCTCACGCACCATGAATCCGATCCCCACGGCGATCTGCACCTTGTGCTCCTGGATCATGCGTGCCGCAGCATCCACGTCGTACTTTGGCATGAGGCAGATCTTGGTGCCACGCGCGGTGCTGGGTACCAGGCCGGACTGGATGCCGGTCGAGTGGAAGAGCGGGATGAGCAGGATGCTCGAAGCCTGTTCGTCGTCGGGCTGTGGCACGGGCGGTGCGAGCCCACGACGCACGTAGGCGCTCGCCACGCCGTAGCCGGCATTGGGACCGGCCGAGAGGAACTGTCGGTGCGTCGCAGCCACGCCCTTGGGCTTGCCCGTGGTGCCGGACGTGTAGAGCACGCTGGCCATGTCCTCGGGCAGGATCTCGATCTTGGGGATCGCATCGGCGCGCTGTGCCACGTCGGCGTACTGGTGGTCGAGCTCATGCGCATCGTACACTTGGTCACCCGCCTTACCGCCTGTCCACTCGCGCTCGTTCTCCGGCACGATGCCAGACACCGCACGCGGGAAGACAGCCACGCCAGAAAGACCAGAGTGCGCACCGGGGACGCAGTCAAAGTCGTCGACGCAGTCCGGACCAGCTGGACCAAAGAGCTTCTTGATGAGGTCCGTGTCGCTGTCGCGCATGCGGCGGAAACGCTCGACATCGAACAGCGCCGCCTTGCACCCTACGTCGCGGATGCAGTCGTACATGGCTTGTCCGGGCAGGAAGGCATTGACCAGCGCCGGTACACCTCCGAGAAGATGGACGGCGTAGAAGGCGATGACGAACTCGACGTGGTTGCGCCCGACGATAGCTACGCGGTCGCCCTTTTGCACGCCGAGCTGGCGCGAGAGCCAGGTGGCGACGAGCTGCGCGCGCTTGTGCACGGCGGCATACGTGTGCGACTCGCCCTCGGCGACGATGAAAGGTCTCGATGCATATGTCTGTTCACACGCCAAAAGTCAGCTTGATGATCAGAACCGAACAGAGCGGGGGGAGTTGGGGTGTGCTTACCGAGGCGGAAAAGAGCCACAGATCGCGCACCGAGTTGGGGAGCAGCTTCCACACGGTGGTGAGGCGACCGTTGACGAGGCGCACCTCGGTCTCGAGCGCCGAGCCGGGCTGGGTGAGCAGCTGGTCGACCTTTTCGAACGGCACGAGCGTGTCCTTGTCGCCCGTAAAGTCCTGGGTGATGGAGCGCTTGGCGGGTGGCGCGCTGGAGCTCATGGTTGCGAAAGCTTCCAGGAGAGAGACGTTGGCTTGGAAGAAAGGTGCGAGGAGAGGACAGAAGGATGTGGTCGAGATGATGGGGGATGCTTCCGAGGAGGAGTTGCAGCTTTGGGCAGGGAGGCAGAGTGCGGGGGAGGAGGGGGATGTGGCTGGTCGGGCCAGGTCAGTGCGGGGTTAGCGAGGCGAGAGCCACCAAGCGGCTAGCCAACCATCAAACTGGACCTGCGCTCGGCATGTGGGTGGCTAGGTTGAGCCGAGCCGGGAGAGCGCGAATACGAGGCCTCGACGAGGCTTGGGCGAGAGGGAGAGCGGGCGGCGGCTAGACGGCGGAGCGGATTACCGGTAGACCGGCCAGCCTCAAGCGGTGGAGGGCCTGCCGATGTTCCGGAAGCACGACTCCGACGGCGGCGCTGCGAAGCTGCCAAACCGGCGTGGCTAAACGACAGCAGAGGCTGATGGGCTGTGGTGTTTGTGCTTTGGCCCCCAAAACCCGCTCTGCGCCCGGCCAATTCATCGACGCGCGCCGCCCCCGCCGCCCTCGCAAAAGTGCGGGGAACCTGGCTGGCTGGCCGCCCCATTTTAACTGCCATCGGCCGAGCCCAACCGACGCCGACAATCGACGACTGTTAAGACTTACAACCTTGTCTTTTCTCCGGCGCTGTCTTCTGGTTCTCTCTCTCTCTCTTTCTACCACGAGCTGCTCTCCACTGCCAGCCGTTCAGTACGGAACTGGGATTAGACAAGAACGAACAGAAACACAGAAGGGAAGGGAATGTCCCATAGCTAAAAAAGAGTGTGTGTGGGTGTGGTGGGAGCCAAGAAAATGAGCGTCGGTGGTGGTGGGTGGTCTGGGTATCGACTGATGTTCGGGCTGGAATGGGGGGATTCGGATCTCTAGAGTCGCTCTCTGCTTTTCGCCGAACGCCGAGCGTGATCAGGATCGACAAATTCCCTCCTCCTTGACGCCATGTGGGGGCTTAGAGAGCGATGGTTTCGCTGTCCTTGATGACGGCGCCGTTGCCGCAGAGGCCGATCATGTTGCCGTTGCCGTCCTTGATGCAGGCGTCCTGCTTGTTGCCCATGAGCATCGGCAGGTCGATCTCGGGCAGCTGCATCGAGCCGAGCAGCGGCAGCAGATCCGTAGGCGCAGGAGCAGCCGGCAACTTGAGAATCGATGTCACACCACCGATCACCGACGTCACCTCCTGCATGATGGGCGTGGGGTTCGGGAGCGCCTGTGCAAGGATCGAGAGCGGGTTGATCACGCCCGTCGTCGCGAACGTCGGCACGGGGATCGTCGACGTCTTGGTACATTCCTTGCCGTTCTCCGTGGTGACGTACTCGACCGCCACGGGTGTCGCGGTGGCAGCGACCGAGATGATCGAGCTAGCGACACTTTGGATCTCGGCGAGGTTCTTCATGAGCATGGCGGGGAACGATCCAAGCGCATTCAGCGCAAGCTTTCCCACCACGTCCGCCTCCATCTGTGCATCCGGGGTGGGTGCGGCAACGACGATGTCGGGTGAAAGACCCGCGACGATCATGGGTGCCGTGGGCGTAGGGATCATGGTGGGGATGAGCTGCGTAACGCCGTCAATGACTTGGGTGATCATGCTCTCGATCTGCCCCGCGACGGCTGGCAGCGTAGGCGTCGGTAGCAGTCCCAGGTCCAGTGCAGGCAACGTAGGCTGTGCATCCAGCGACAATGCCATCATCCTGTCAAGTCCTCCGGAGTCAGTATCTCATCTCCATCGTGTGTGGTGCAGAGACTGCGTGCTTACAGTCGCTTCTCCATGCCGACGGGCACAGCGGATGTCGTGGAGATGGCAAGCATCGCCACCAGTGCCGTCGCCGTACCAGCGAACAGTGTCGACTTCATTTCTGTTGTGCTTTGGATGCGGGTGGATGTCGATAAACGACAACAAGTTTTGGTTGGTGGTGTATAGGTGGCGGGTAGAAGGTGGTATCGTAGGAGGAGCGAGCGGAAAGGAGAGGTATCCAAGACCGATGCTCGACGTCGTACCTGGCGGTGTTGACCTTTTATTGAAGCATCGACGCATCAAGAGCGGGCCTTACTTGTGGCTTGGCTGTCTTTACCACGTTGGGAAAGTAGGCATCCGTATGCTGCGCTCCCGTGTGCATGCTTTTGCGCGCATGATGCGGTTGGCTGGCTTGTTTGTTGGCGTCCCAGACAGGCAGCAGCCGACGGATCGCCCTTGTCGTAGATGCTGTAGCGGTCGCCGGAAGCGATCCGGAACGCAGCCGCCGTCAAAGCAGAGGCGAGCTACATCCACCGTCCGTGTCCATCCTGCGTGTCTGCTCACGGCTTTTCCCCACGCGTGTCCTTGCGGCTAAGGATAGAGGAGGGTTAAAATAGAGGCCGGCACAACGTACGACGCATGTCACTCGGCGCACATCCCCGACGCCGGACGCAGACGCATGCTGCAGCCAGCGACCACCACCCCAGCTGGGGGCAAGGACCGCATTTGCGGAAGCAGGCGGAGGTGAGGATCGACCACAACACGACAAAGTGGCAGAAAGTGACATGCGACATTCCTCGAATATTCACCGCCCCACAGCCTGCAGGCACGCGCATCGTCCCCGCGCCAGCCATCCAACGCCCCATCGGCTGAAGAATCGGGGCAGCCCCACCGGCTCTCTGCAATTGCACACGTTTATATACCGATCTGACCGGCTGACTGACATCTGCGGCCATAGAACCTTGAAA